GAAAATCATCCCTCGTTTGAAGGAAGTCTTTGGAACTGGCTCAGGCAAGGGGGCTGCTGAACGAGACTCTAAGAAAGATGCAGGTCTCATGGTTGTACTTGACAACATGAAGCTGATTGCTGATAATTGTTCAGGGATGGAGTTCAAGGATGGTGGGTTTTGTCACTTCAAAGCTTTGAGCCTACATCTGACGTTTTTTCCTTCTAGATATTCTACCCCTGATTCGGCTTGGGCTGGATTCTCCCACCCACTCTTTGGTGGATGCTTCCCTTAAATGCCTCCCTGTGGTGCTCCCAGTTCTTGACTTTAGTACAGTCAAGAACGAGGTATTCCCTCCCATTGCTGCCACTTTCAGTCGCACTAGCAGCCTTGCTATCAAGGTTCGCAGCCTGGAAGCTTTCAGTGTCCTTTGTGGGGCTCCTGCAGAAGCTTCAGACGGGCTTGACGATGATTTGTCTGGAATCCAGCAGAGCAAATCGAAAACAGCCAAATCCTCGATCTTGGACAAGTATACCATTCAAGAAAAGCTCGTCCCATCTCTCAAGGCGATCAAAACGAAAGAACCGTCAGTGATGATGGCATCGTTGAAGGTATTTCGCCAAGTCGGAACCGTCGCAGACACCGAATTCCTGGCTCTGGAAATTCTGCCTGTTCTCTGGAGTTTCAGTCTCGGGCCACTTTTGAGCCTTAAACAATTCAATGCCTTCATGTCTCTGATAAAGACTCTTTCAACGAGAATTGAACAGGAGCAAACTAAAAAGCTGCAAGAGCTATCATCTGGCGCTGGATCAACGGGTTTCCAGAATGGTGCCGACGAATTTTCGCAGTCCGCCACAGGCCTCAGTTCGCCCGATGTGGATGCAGGTGCTGGTAGCTTCGAGCGCCTTGTTCTTGGGAAGAAGGCGTCTCCTGCGAATGGCCAGAGTATAGATATGTGGGGTAGTATGGAGCCAGAGCCAGCCAAGCCAATGGTTCCGAGCATGCCACCTTCATTCTCGTGGTCTTCAAACAATTCAGGCATGACACCCCAAGCCAGTGCCTTAAGCCCGCAATCGAATCTTGGGTTCCGTTCCATTACTCCGGATCAGAAATTGGGCTCTTTCCCGTCTCTTGCTCCTGCTCGGCAAGCTTCACCGGTTGCTCAAGCCTTCCCTACAATGCAACCCTCATCCTCTATCTGGGGAGCCCCTACCAATGCCAATGTTCGATCCAACACAGGCCTACCGGGTCAGTCTTTGGGGTCCATGTCGAGTATGACACCCTCGAATCATATGTCTGGGTCCACGGCGCAAGTGGCACCGAACTACTCCTCATTCTCAATCCCTCCTCCTCCGGCAGGAAGTATGGGGTCCAACTCCATTAGACCCCCTCCGATGAACACAACCAATAGACCAACGTCTTTCCAAAGCACAGGTGCGACACCGCAGGGTACTCAGAAGAATGGGTTGGACAAGTATGAGAGCCTGATATAAAGGAGAATTCTTGTTATTTTTTGCCGATACCCCTTTTCATTGTTGTAATTGCTGTAATTGTGTGATTGCTGTAATTTCTATTATTGCACATTCCATAGTGAATAGATGTCTAATTAAAGCAAAATGACAAAAGAATATTAGCAAATTCAAGTGCCAAGCAAAATAGTAGATCGGAATTCCATCGGTAATCCGACGGTAGGGAAACACGTACCTGATTGGTGCCTCTTCATGCTATGTCATACCTCAAACCCCTCCATATGTACTCGATGCGCATTGCGCCCTTCTCCCGGAGCTCCGTGTTACGTTTACCCCCTCATCGAAACCGACTGTCTCCCAGATTAGCAGCCTTCTCCTCTCTAACTACGCCCGCCATGGACCAAAGCATCAAACAACATTACCTGGCTGACTCGCCTCCCACGGTGGTCAGACTGGAAGTCAAGTCACACTTTGATACCCTCAAAGACCCAAACCTGAGAAAATATGCGCACTTTATGAGCAGGTATGGTGTTCCTGGTTCACCTGCCAGTACCACACTATTGGCAGCTAATCCTTCTCAAATCTATACAGAGCTGCATTTGAGGGCACTCGAGTCACCCTGCGGCAGGTTTCCCCCGAGTCCGAACCCATCTACGATCTCATCCTGTCACTCTACCATGCCTCCAATGGCGATTGGAACAGCCTCTCCCAGAAAACACAAGTGAGCTCCGAGGACCTCCGTTTCTTCCTCGAATATGCGGGTCAATTCTTGGGAAACTGCGGAAACTACAAGGGATTCGGTGACTCAAAGTTTATCCCTCGGCTGTCCCCATCCGCGTTCGAGGCTCTGGCTTCGGCCACTGCGGAGACAAAGGCGGCTTTCCAGAAGGCTAACACCACCGGAGGAGGCATCTACGAGACCAGTGAACAGTCCATGATGCACCTCGGATACCCCAAAGGTGGCCACATGACTACCTATTACCCAGATTCACCGACGATCTCACAGGAGGAGATCACGGCAATTGGTGACTTGATGGAGAAAAAGGGACTCGCGTTGGAGAACACCAGACTTCGGAAGACATCCTCGGGCGATTTCGAGCTTTTGATCGCATCTGGTATTTCGTCCCCTCCTGTGAAGGACCGGGATCTCGGCGATGTGGACACATTTGAGCTCGACGGAGATCTGAAGGGAAAGACGCTGCGTTTTGTCTTCGGTGACCACCAGGAGGAGATGGCAAAGATTGCGCACAGCGTCAAGCGGGCGGGACTTGCTGCTGCAAATGACAACCAGAAGAAGATGTTGGATTCATATGCTCTCTCATTTGGAGCTGGATCCATCGAGGCTTTCAAGGAGAGCCAGCGCATCTGGGTTCAGGACCAAAAGCCCGTGCTGGAGACGAACCTGGGCTTTGTTGAAACATACAGAGACCCCCATGGTGTGCGCGGAGAATGGGAAGGCTTCGTTGCTTTGGTATGACACGTGCTGGATTTATATTTGACTGGTGTCGCTAACATTCTCAGGTCAATCTGGAGCGCACCCGAGCCTTTGGTACGCTGGTTGACAGTGCTGAGAGCATGATTCCCAAGCTGCCTTGGGGTAAGGACTTCGAGAAAGACAAGTTCCTCAGCCCCGACTTCACATCACTGGAGGTCTTGAGTTTTGCCTGCTCGGGTCTCCCAGCTGGCATCAACCTGCCCAACTATGATGACATTCGCCAAAATCTTGGCTTTAAGAACGTGTCTCTGGGCAATGTTCTCAGTGCCAAGGCTCCCAACGAGGCTATTCCTTTCATTGCTGACAGTGACCAGGAGGTCTACCGCACATTCCGGGACCCGGCCTTTGAGGTCCAGGTCGGTATCCACGAACTACTGGGCCATGGTACTGGTAAGCTGTTGCAGGAGACAGCGCCAGGAAAGTACAACTTTGACATTAAGAACCCGCCCATCAGCCCTGTCACCAACACACCCGTGTCGACCTGGTACAAGCCTGGACAGACATGGAGCTCGGTCTTTGGCTCCATTGCTTCGTCATATGAGGAGTGCCGTGCTGAGTGCGTGGCTATGGTACTTGCCTGCGACTTTACCATCCTGAAGATCTTCGGATTCGGTGATGGCAAGGAAGACTTGGCCGGTGAGGCTGGCGATGTCCTGTTCGCGGCCTATCTTTCCATGGCTCGTGCCGGTCTGGTTGCCCTCGAGTTCTGGGATCCGAAGACCCAGAAATGGGGTCAGGCACACATGCAGGCTCGGTACAGTATTCTACGCACCTTCCTCGATGCCGGTGATGACTTCGTCAAGTTGTCTTACAGCAAGGAGGATCTTTCTGATCTGGAGATCCGTCTTGACCGGTCCAAGATCCTGACTCATGGACGTCCCGCCGTGGAGAAGTACCTCCAGAAACTGCATGTCTACAAGAGTACCGCAGATATTGAGGCTGGCAAGGGGTTGTACGACGATATTACCTCTGTTGACAGCTGGTGGGGAACCACCGTTCGTGAGGTTGTTTTGAAGAACAAGGTGCCACGTAAGATCTTTGTACAGGCCAACACTATACTCGAGGGCGACCAGGTCAGTTTGAAGGAGTATGAACCGACTCTCGAAGGTCTGATTCAGAGCTTTGCAGAGCGTAACGTTTGATGACATTTTATATATATAATATATATCTATATACATAAGAAAATTGCAACCTTGATGGATACAAGTGAAATGCATACATATAAATAAAGCTATCGCTAAATAGTCTCTTGAATGTCTTCTTAGAGGGGTGTCGTTGTGACTTCAGAGAACTTGGGACCTACCCCTATTCACCACTAAGTTACTCCATACTAATCGTTGAATTTGGGGCACTCTACCAAATCAGATTTGATTCTTTTGGTATTGTGATGTTGATAATAAAATGCAAGATATTGCGGTTACGACTATATGGTGGTACATAGTCCCATAGTGAACAATATTCGACTTTAATGACATTTAGAATATTCGGTTCTGAACAAAACTAGAATGGTAAATAGTTCTAAGCCCACCAGCTCTTGAAATTGAAATTGAAAATCAAAATCATGATCAAAATCCAAACCAGCTCACAATGGTATGAAATGAGAGATCAAGAGGTGTTTTGCGGGGACCGGCCGGAAATAGACCAAAGCCTATATGGCATACATGATGTTGCTTTGACTTGAGGACGTATAATATCCTACAATAATATGCCCCCTAGAAATAAATCCAAACTAAATCCCACTAAATCAAACTAAAGAGAGAGGACACGGCACGTGCCAAGGTTTTGGATGAGGCGCTCGGACTTACCGCCGTCCAGGCAAGTTGATCTACCCCCAACCTCTAAGCGCTTTCTTTCTCCAACTCATTGTGAATTTAGCAGAGAACTTACATCTGCTCTACTCATTTCAGAAAGTCTCTTTCATCCCAGTGAAAGTCATTGAATTGGAAAACTGTCAAGACTCCCAGTTCCCGCGACTTGGAGACTCGATCCAGATCAGTCGCATTGCTAGACTAGGTCAGTATTTGACCATTTTAGTTGCGCAGATCAGCCTGTCTGACATGAGTCAGGCAATAATAGAAACCACGGTGTCGCGAGAAACGCCGCCGTCGGACGCATCAACCACGGCGTTCCCGCCCCATCCAACCGACTCCCTAGAGGAGGAGGACGATTATTACACTGCACCTCCCCCACACTCTGCATCAGCGTCGACTTCCTCACCCGCATATCCTCCGCCCTTTTCGTCTCTTATCTTTTCGTCACTTCCAGACACCAATCGCCCATACAAAGTAACTGAACCTGGACCCGCTTGTCCTCCAGCCTTATCGCCTCCAGCACCTGTCGAGGAGTCGCTCGAGCCGGCCACATCTTCGGCGGTTGTTGCTGACACAAAAACATCTTTTTCTGAACCAAAAAACGAGGGCTCTTCCGACGACAGTGAACCACCGCCGCCATACACAGAAGGCTATAGCCCACTTGAATCATTTACCTACGTGATGGCTGCTGCAGGAGGTGCCTCCAGCATCATCACCCAGGTCCAGCAGACCGGGGGTCCGCCAATCAACACTCTTGGTGGTATGTTTCGTAACCAAGGCGGCTTGGTATGCTTTGCGCTAATATGTTATAGATATTGGCGGAGATGAACACGTCGGTCTCGACCTTCGGTAAGATCACATATTGGTTGATATCTCAATTATGCATAGGCTAACATGTTGACAGTGGTACCCGGTTCACCCTTTCGCGAGATGAGCTGTTGACTTTGCCTGAATTTGTTCTGCTTTCCCTCTTCCCCAATGGCCTCCTCCCGGATGGACATTCTACAAATGGTTTCCATGACGGGGATGTATTCCCAGTTGATGTGCGCAAATCCATATCTTGAGTATCAAGGAAAGCTTTGCTGACAGCTATTATCTAGTATGACCCGGTCTCACTTCAGTACATGTTGGATTTCTTCCGGACCGTTGCCCAGACCATCCCCTCTCCTCTGCCTTCCGGCTCAAATTCACCAGACTTGGATATGTCGGACGCAATGCAAGGATCAGCCCGTGACATGCTGCAAGACCGTGCTGGCATTATTGTCCTCCGAGAGGACCTCGACTTCTACGTGATTCCCCCTCGCGCTGAAATTGGACACGACGAAATGCTTGAAGTCAAGCGGGCGGCTGGTAGGTCGCTATTGAGACAGGACGGCATCTTTTCAGGACTGCGGAAGAGCGAGGAGATTGGTTCCACCGAGCAGCATCTTATTGAAATGCTGACAGCCGGGTTAGTAGAATCCAAGGTTTCAAGCATGGACCAACGCTAATATGTGATGTAGAGGTTTTGATCGTGCTGACCAGTGGGGCCACCGTGCGCCAGAGCCTAACAAGGCAGTAATCTGCAGTCTTGCACTGGCCAAACTCCGCACCGATATTCGCGGGGACCTATCCAACAACAATTCCGTGGGCATGGCCCAGAAGCTTCTCCTATTTTGGCGGAAGCCTGCCCGCCGCTGCTGGTGGGAAGGTATCGAGTTGGACGATGTAGAGGGCGTCGAAGGGCCAGTCAAGGTCTGGATCCGGCGTGTGTGGACTCTGGAGATGGTAAGACCCCCATCCTTGGTGGACTCGAAGCTCTTGATAGCTAATCCCATCGCAGAGTGTTATTGGGCTTCGCTGATTTTTCCCCCCTTCTTTTCCTTCCATGTGCGATTACCATTCCCCCGGCCATGTGCCTCGAAGTTTCGAATGTTATTTTTTTTTCCAAAGTTGCATTTAAATACATCTGCAACAGCCATTCAAGTTTTTATCCTACCAACAGCAGCGCTGGCGTACTCTGCAGTTTGGGTGTTCTCCTTCCTTTCAGTGTGTTCATTTTCTAGTCAGATTGGTAAATTTCTCCATGGACAGCAATTAGCTTAGCTGTGAAGTTTTGAATATATGGTGCATATCTACCATTCTGGTAACTGTAGCCTTTCTCTCAACCACATTCCATTTGCTTGTTTTGGATTTGAGTCTTGTATGAATGTGACAATGAGCCCAGTTGACCACATGGCCATGATGGAAAAGACCAGTGTCTATCGATGAATCGATGATTCTAATGATGATATTTACAAGCATTAATATGCCTATTGACCTGTTGTTTACTATAGTTTAAATGTGATAATAGCCTGAGGCATGGACCACGTGATACACTCCCTGGAATGGGACTAGCGTCAAATTGGGTCAAAGTCGCGCAGAATATCGACCTCAGAGCCAATCTCTCCAGCTGGATCCTATCTGGATGCCTTTGACGCGACCTTGATTTTTGTCACACATTTACTTTATGCTGTGGCATCATACAAGTACTCGTTGTTAATTCTTTCGTGCTTGGACCATTGTCAATTGTGCCTCGCTGCAGTGATCAGCCCTTCGAACATCGAGCCGATCAACAATCGCAAGCTCTCTATTCTCCCGCCCATACCCTCGAAGGGGCATGTTATTGTGCAATTGAATCGCCAACATGTCCCCTCTCCGAGGCTACATCAGTTCCTACCCTCCGCGCATGCGCCAGTATGGAAACGCGTTGCTCACACCTGTCAACCCTCCGTCTCAGACCGGCCCGACTCCGCGCACCACAAAGCGTGGTACTACAGCCATCAATTATGCAGAGGATGGCTTTGATGATGAGGATTTTGATGAGAATGATGGGCCCCGGCGGCCGACGGGACTGAGGAGTCTTCGGCGCGAAGAATCCGCTACCGACAAGTCGGTGCCCTACTCAGAGAAGCTGGGAAAAGAAGTGCATGCGCCCGTGGAGGTGCAAGGCCTCTTTCGCGAGTGGATGATCAAGAGAATGTTGCGACCAGCGTATGTTCCCCATCGCCAGGACTGATGTGGCCATTAACGACAGTGGCCTCTGTCTTCTCCGTTTATCCTTAAATCTGGCTAACATACAGCGCGGTGATTCTAGGTGTGCCGATCAACTGCAGATTCAAGCGCAACTCCCCTTGACACTAGTTCCCATCCGAATTGACGTCGAAGTCCCCGCTCATCAACCCCTCGAACCATTCCCTTTCCCACGCACTGCCGTGGACCCTAGCATTAACCAAACTCTTCCTGCGTACCGCAGACCCGAACCATTACCCCCGTTCCGCATCAAGGATACCTTCTTATGGAATCTCCATGAATCACTCTCAACGCCCGAAGAGTTTGCTATTGGATTCGTTCGCGATCTTGACCTCCCAAATCCTCAAGCCACGACCATGACCATCAGCAACCAGATCCGCCAGCAGTTGGAGGAATACGCCGGTGTCGCTCTCCACCCCCTCTTCCAGAGCACAGATGCAGGCACGGTGCCCAGTGTCCCGCCACAGACTGAACCGTCAAGAGACACGCCAACAACACCAGCTGCTGCCAACGTTGCGACACCTGATAACCGGTCCGATGTGACGACCCTTGTAACCGTGACTAAGGAAGCGCTAGTAAACGACAGCCTTCTGAATCCGGATGACGCATATCGGTGCTTGATCACCCTCAACATCAACCTGCAAAATAAGCTGTACACAGACAAATTTGAGTGGTCTCTACTACACCCACCTGGCATGGCCGAAGAGTTTGCGCGCATCACTTGCGCAGATCTCAGCCTTGGTGGTGAATGGGTCAGCGCCATTGCGCATGCCATCTACGAAGCAGTCCTGAAGTTCAAAAAGGAAGTCTGCGAAAGCGGTGCTCTTGTCAGTGGCATCAATGGATACGGCAACGAAATTGAGAATTTGGCAGCAAATGGTGTGGAGGCTGGTTGGCGTTACGACCCTGAAACAATCTGTGATGGGTGGCAGCCTCAAGTCGAGACACTGTCCAAGGAAGAAATTGAACGAAGGGAAGGTGACCGTGAGCGCCAGATCCGACGTCTGCGCCGAGAAACTGCCAGGTTCTCTTCAACCACGGGCATCACACCTGAGATCTCAAGGCAGAACAGTGGCAATTACTTCGAGGTAGATAGTGAGACTCCGCTCGGACGTGGAGAAAGGAATAAGCGCAAGCGCCGGTTCCGCAGCTTGAGCCCTACGGGCAGAAGTGGCACTCCTGGTGGCCGGGGAACTCCTGATACCGGATCAGGGGCTGGGTACGGTGGCGGTGGTGGCACGCTTTCCGAATGGTATGTAGCTGCTAGATACTTCTCGCTGGAATATTCACTAATTATATCTGCAGGGAACGCCAAAGCTGGAGATGCAAGAATTGTGCGGTGTGGGGCACAGCAGTTTGGGCTGTGCGCGATGGTCCAGATGGCCCAAGGGTAAGTGCTCACTTTCGAATGTATTGCAGGCAGTTTCTAACTATCTTCTCCAGACACTCTGCCATAACTGTGGCCTGCTTTACGAGCGTGATAAGGTTGCACCAGAATGGTCCAAGGATCTTCATCGTCACGACGTTCCCGTCGGCCGATATGGTTAAATTATCAACGGTATCTTTCCTTACATCACCTTAATGTACCATCTTAAGCTTCAATGACCTACTTCACGCCACCTATTTCTCCATGTCCTTCTCGACCACTTAATCCACTACTCTTCCACCTTTTTTCCGATCTCGGCGCCACGGTGCATCACCTTTTATTTTCTGTTGCGGGCCACTGCTTTCACTTTCCATCTGCAAAATCCGGGGGCGTTATCATCATTGTGAATCATCGGTTTCTCTCAATCAACGTCTTTCTTGCTTACGACACATGTACTTTCTTTCCCTGGACGACTAGAAGGCAACGAGCTATCAGGAACCAGAGTAGACATCCAATGAGATTAGACAATGGCGCACCTATCCCTCTTGCATTGCTGTCCCATGCATTTCTAGTTGCTTCACCATAGCCTTCCTTCACTGATCTTCCCATGACGGACCCTTTGTGCTCAACTTTAGCAGATCCAATGGCCCGAATGTGAGGCCCGAATGGTCTACCTCATTGTATTGGGGTGACAACTCAAGCCCCGTTTACATCCAAGTTTGCCAAGCACCAAGTCAAAAAACCTATTGGAGATAAAACCAGCCTCATCGCACCTAGGACGGAGTATGCACGGAATATTCCGCAATCCCCTTCGTATCTGTACTTCACCAGGGTGAAGCCCTAAGCTGCAGGATTGGAAGAGCAACACTTGGAGATGACCAACCAGCGTCAGCTAATGAACCTCTGTCCGCAATATGCGTCTCATACGATGGTTGTACTTTTGTGCTGTTTCCTAGTAGCTGGGCTACAAATCACATAGTCCTCGGTAGGGTTCGGTTCAGGAGCCAATGATATTATGACATTTCGTCACCAATAGCTGTATATGATTATTCGTACTTAAGTATATGTATCAAAAGTTTAGATAAAGCCAAAAGGAAAAGAATATGACTCCGTTTCGTGACAGTAGCAAATCGCCGTTTTTTAGCTGTGAGTCGAGGATTCGAGCTGGAAAAGGTCCTGCGGCTCCTTAGCCTATAGATTCTCGACCAGTAAGGTGATTTAATTCTTACCAGCAATGACTGTATCCTGTCAGATGCGGTGCTATCTGATTTTTGGAATCCGCCCTTTGTTGCAGCTTTTTTCGTTGTCGTGATGAGACATTACTCTGCATATTGTTAGATAACACTCGGATAATGCACTGTTGTCGACTGACCTCCTCAACGGTGCCTTCCATGATGTACCGAACAATGGTCACGTTGGAGACTTGACCAAGTCGAAGAGCTCGGCCAATTGCCTGAGCTTCAATCGATGGGTTCCACTGCGGCTCAAGAAGGTAGATACGTGACGAAGTTGAAAAATTCAGAATATCTGTCATAAGTGAGAAGTATTGAAAATTGAAGAAGTGTTAGCTTACCCAACAGCACCCGTGCCAAGTGTCATTAGGAGAACGTTTGTTTCCTTTTGATTTTGATATCTTTGCAATTCTTGCAGACGTTTTGACAAAGACAGAGATCGCTCTATCATGCTATATTTGATTCCCTTGCTGGAGAAAAGCCCAGCAACAATCAGGAGAGTCTTTTTCCAACTTGAGAAGACCACACTAGAAGACAACCCCGGTGGTTAGTTCAAATAAGAAGAGAGCGGTGTATTTCTTGAGAAGAGATACCATTTCTGACAAGGATTTTGGGAAATCTCAGACAGAAGAGCTAGAAGTTTTGTCGGATATTGTTTCGTTAGAGGCGTTGCTCTCATTTCAATCTGCGTGTGATGATGCTTTGAATTGTCAAGCAATGCAATTAGAACGCCAGACTGTGGATGATCAGAGTCACAACAAGGACATTTATTCTGTCGAGAGCGATGGTCGGCTATGCAACTGTGACAAACCAAATGACGGCAGCCGGATATAAAAAATGCCTCCCATCTGGACATTTGTGGGTCATTCGTTGAAGTACGAGATGACGGAAGCGTCGAGCTGATACACTTCACGGCAAGATTGTATGACCCGCCTATATCTTTCAAAAGCTCTACTGACAGTGTTCTCGATTGTAGGTTTTGGGTTGACGAAGGTCTTGTCGACCCATTGAAAGGAGACATTAGGATGGCAGCACGATGTATCAATTATTTGAACTTCCCGCTCTTTGTGAACGCACCGTTGGAGCATGATATTCGCCGTGGCGACTATGGATGTATGGAATATTCCGTTGTCCATTGGGTTAGACACCTTGAAGGGGCAATAAGGGAAGCAAATCGACGAATCGAAAGAACAAAGGCAGAAGCAACCAGACCTCGGCAAAGTACACCCGAGCATGGAGGTGCAGTGACGGAAACTGTACTGGTTTTTCATTTGGCTTTATTTCAGAGGCTAGTCTAAAAAGGCACATGAAAGACTCCCATCCAGATGTATTGCAGAGCCAATGTTTCCCATCCGACAGAGACATTGCGTTAAGCCTTCGGCTAAGGACACTCGAGATACATGCTACTCCCCAGCGAGCACCTGAAATTCAGAATGGACAAGCTGTGCCAGCCACACCCGATGTTCCAGCCCACACGCAAGAGCCACCAAGCTCAGACTCCGAGCCAGAGGTTCGCCCCACGAAACGCCAAAAGGCCCAAGCGGATCAAGACTTTGAGTGCCCACATTGTGCAAAGGACTTCAAAAGGCTCTATAATCTCAAGTCTCACCTTTTGACCCATACGGCCGATCGTCCGTTTTCGTGTGATACCTGCAGCAAGCGCTTTTCCAGAAAGAATGATTACTGATTACAATCGACACAAGAAGATCCACTCGGGCCAGAAAGATTGGGTCTGTGAAGGTTGTCTGGTTTCCTTTGCTCGTGCAGACATGCTCAACAATCACCATCGCGCGCCAATAGGTCAAGCCTGTTTTGTCAAAATCCAAGGTCAGAGACTGGGTCGTGTGCCTTGAGTGCGGTACACTTGTGATATGAGTAGTTCTGTAGTAGGCTTTGGTAGGTTCACCATGTCTCTTACACTTCGAATGCAGACTACGTAGAGAAGCATTCGAGGGTCAAAGGGAGGTCTACTTGAAAAGGGGAGCTTGACAGAGGATTTAAACAAAACGCCTGTTTGTGATGATACTGTATCTTCGTATTGTTCATTTCTTGGCCAAGATCCAGTTAAACGCGATGTTCCGCGAAACTCCTTTATCTTCTTCACAGTCCACGACAACCTCATCGATCTCCACCTCAAAGCCAATATCCGCGAGAAGTCTTCTCATTTCATTTCTACCCCATCCACTCCAATGCATTGCCCCCTTTGTCCCACCTAACCAAGATTGATCCGAAGAGCTCGCAAATCCAGTCTCGGGGAAATTGGCGAGAAGCAGTCCTCCAGGTTTCAACCAATCAAAAATTCGACGAAGCATTGTGGTTTGTTCGTCGCGCGGTAGATGGAAAATGGAATACATGGCCACCACAGCATCGAAATGCTCCGGACTGAATTTCAATTCCATCATGTCTCCCGGTATCAGGTTCACGGACTGAGGAAGCCGCTCCTTTGCCATGGCAATTTGTGTATCGGATATGTCATTTGCAGTGATACTGGTGTATTCACGCGATGCTAAAAGTTGAGTACATGGTACCCCAGCGCCGCATCCTAGTTCAAGGATGCTTTGACTGTTTCCCTCGGCAGAATCAACGGATGCAAGCATGCGATTGAGGTAGGAAAGTCGTATTTCATGAGAAGGTTGTGTCCAGTGCAGGTAGACCTCGGCAATGTCATCATAGGCTTTCTTGATTTCGTCCTTGATTTGATTGTTATGGATGGCCTCGGACATTCTGGCAGAATATGTCTTGATTTATAGTCTGAGTCGTGAATCTTGTTAGGAAGAGCAAATGAAAGGATATTCTCTGACTATAAGAGTTCTAATTAACAAATGACTCATTCGGCCAAAAGTAATATAACTCAAGAATACGACTCATAGTAACCCGATGAGGATTAGTGTAGTTACCGAGGAGGAGAGGAGAGTGATCGGCAGAGACAGGACTAGCCTGTCAGTTACTACCAGAAGGACATTTACGAACGAAATAACTAACTGGACTGCCAGATTTATAGAAACGGGTGTATGAGCACGAATTAAATTCCAATGGTTGAAACTGAGTACAATTTCAAATGTGATACTAGGGTGCTTTTCGACTGTATAAAGCCGAATACATGTATCCTTAAAACACCTAAAATATCCTACTGTTTCGGGTAAGGCCACTTCCAGTTCCGAATATGGTCAGGATCAATGCCGTTGTCGAAAGCCTCGGACTTGCCCGCAAGCTGCTGGTTGATCAGCTCCTCTCTCACGCCAGCTGCCGTGTTCCCAAGGGATTGAACCAAATCAATGGCAGCGATAGCGAGACTGTATCGATCGGTCTCATTGCGCAGGGCCAGCTCGAACGGTGTATCGATGTTACCCTTCTCTTTGTACCCTCTCACATGCAGGTTGTGTTGACCGGGTCGCTTGTATGTGAGTCGGTGGATGAGCCAGGGGTAGGAATGGAAGTTGAATACGATGGGCGTGTCGGTGGTGAAAATGGACTTCCACATCTTATCGGACATTCCGTGGGGATGGTGGATGGTGGACATCAGTCGGAATAGATCCACCACGTTCACGAAACGGACTTTGAGCTGTGGGAGATGTTCGCGTAGTAGTGCGGTCGCGGCTAGGGCTTCGTGTGTAGAAACATCACCGCAGGATGCCATCACGACATCTGGCTCTGCGCCTTGATCGTTGCTCGCCCAGTCCCAGATTCCAAGACCCTTGGTACAGTGCTGGACGGCTTCGTCCATGTTCAGGAACTGGATGTGCTCTTGTTTATCGGCAACGACCACATTTACATAGTTGGTACTGCGGAGACAGTGGTCCATCACGGAGAGGAGTGTGTTTCCGTCGGGCGGGAGATAGATGCGAACCACCTCGGGGCTCTTGTTGGCCACCACGTCGAGGAATCCAGGGTCCTGGTGGGTGAAGCCATTGTGGTCTTGTCTCCAGACTGTGGCGGTGATGAGGATATTGAGAGACGCGATCCGGGCTCTCCACTCTACTTCAAGACACTTCTCGATCCACTTGCAATGCTGGTTCACCATAGAATCAATGACGTGGATGAAAGGCTCATAGCTGTTGAGCAGTCCGTGCCGACCAGAAAGAATGTAGCCTTCCAGCCACCCTTCACAGGTATGTTCACTGAGGATCTCCATCACGCGGCCATCGGGAGCCAGATTTCCTCCATCTTTATCCTCTTCGAAATAATCGCCCATCCATACTTTCTTGCCAGCTTTGTACACCTCGGAGAGCTTGTTAGACTCAGTCTCATCGGGTCCAAAGAGCCGGAAGTTGTGCATGTTCTTTGCGACAATATCACGGAGGAATTTCGCCATGTTGGCCATGCCACCCTTGCTGGTTATCCCAGGAATGATATCCGTGAAACCATACTTTCGGAAATCGGGCATATGGAGTGGCCGGCGTAGAAGACCTCCATTACCAACGGGGTTGGCACTGATCCGGGAGTTACCCGTGGGCGTGAGTTCCTTCAGTTCCTGAATCAAGGTGCCATTCTTGTCGAAAAGCTCTTCTGGCTTGTAGCCCTTCATCCATGTTTCTAACACCTTAAGATGAGCGGGGTTGGTACGGACATCAGTGAGAGGAATTTGGTGCGCGCGCCAGAATCCCTCGAGAAGGTGGTGATCAACCTCCCGTGGAGCCGACCATCCCTTGGGTGTTCGAAGAACGATCATTGGCCAGCGAGGTCGGAACGGGGTCTTTGACTCTCGGGCTTTCTTCTGGTGTTCCTTTATCTCTGCGACACATTGCTCGAGCGTAGCTGCCATGGCCTGATGCATGCTGTCCAAGTCACTGCCCTCCACAAAGTATGGCTTCCATCCATAGCCAATAAGCAAAGACGAAAGTTCGTCGTGGCTGATTCGTGCAAGTACCGTCGGGTTGTTGATCTTATATCCGTTGAGATGGAGAACAGGCAGTACTGCTCCATCGGTGATCGGGTTCAGGAACTTGGTGCTGTGCCAGCTGGTTGCAAGTGGACCGGTCTCGGCCTCGCCGTCTCCCACCATGGTCAAGGTAATGAGATTGGGATTGTCATAGACCGAGCCAAAGGCATGCGAGATTGAATATCCAAGCTCACCACCCTCGTGGATACTGCCAGGTGTCTCGGGGGTCGCATGGCTTCCAATACCGCCGGGGAAAGAGAATTGTTTGAAGAATTTCTGCATGCCCTCCTTATCCTCGGCTTTATCCGGGTAGACTTCCGAGTAGACACCCTCCAGGTAGGCTTGGGATAGGATTCCAGGGGCGCCATGTCCGGGGCCGGAAACGAAAAGAATGTCGAGGTCGTACTTCTTGATGAGACGGTTCATGTGCATCCAGGTGAAAGACTGTCCGGCATCGGAACCCCAATGACCTAAAAGTCGAGCTTTGAGATGTTCTACCTTGAGAGGTTCTTCGAGGAGTGGGTTGTCGCGAAGGTAAAGCATGCCCAAACACAGGTACATGCTGGCCCGAAAATAGGCATTCATCTTACGGATTGTCTCGGCGTCAAGGGGCTTCCCTTCCACAGTTGAGCGAGCCTCTCCATAGGCGGAGATGCTCTTTTCAGCTGCTTTGGATGCCATGCTGTGTAGTGTACTCTGTTGAAGCGGAGGTTCTGCACCACACGTAAATAGAATCCCTCGGCGTGATGACACCTGGGATCCGACCAATATAGAAGGATATACACTGGAGTTGGAAATATAGAAAATAAATCCAAGAAAGAAGATGATTGCAGGTCAATAGATGGGGTTTTTGTTCATAAATAGGAGGATGAATCTCTGACAAGTCAATGACGTGTGGAACCTTGGAAACGGACATACCTAGTACCACCGTGGCACTTGGGCAGGCTTCTACGGTGTCATGTACATCATGACTTGGCCCCATACCTTTCAATTATCATATCAATGATTGCTCCTAAATCAGGTAGATGGACGCTCGGAGGTCCACAGGCGAGCTTGTATAACCTTGGAATGTCTTGGCATTGACACCTAAGGCCAATATCAGAAGATATATGCACTATGTCCATAGTTTTCCGGATAGCCGTCGTAATGAATGTGGTCGGATGTTGTATAGTGGCACATCGAAAGTGGTGCTCGAAAATCGGCGCGAACGTAGCTTGCTGATGATTGTAGACCTGCGACCTATTCGGACAGTTTCAAGCAAGTCGAACTCGACCGCATACGATTAGGTTGCAATTTTTGAACACCAAAATATATATACCTTCAACTATCTTGTCTTCTTTCGTCGCCAGGGAGTTCACATACTTCCCTCGAAGCTAACTCTTGGGCGCATATTTTTGAATTGAGTTCCATGACATTCTGGGCTGCGAGTTCATGCCGTTCATTTCCTTCAGTTGGTAACTCGGCCTTGTTATAGCCATAGCCATAGCCTTCGTTATTCACATCCACTGCAGCCTTGACACTTGAATGTCGTTTGTGTCTCTTCAGCATAAAAATGGCAACTATAACAAGAACAACACCGGCGACGGACCCGACGACGGGGCCCGCGATCCATGCTATTGTCGTCGACAGGAGTCACAATTGGTGAGGCTGAATGTGTCCTTGTCGCTGATACACTCGTCACAGGTACAGCAGACGGAGTCGGTGTATTCCCTTTTGTCGCTGTCGTTCCGGCTAGATGCCCATATTTACTAATAACCGAGATAGCAGAAACCATTTCTTTGCGACTGGCGGGGAAAATAGATTGACAGAAATCCATAACATTTATGGCTTCTTCTGCATCTTCCTGGTCGAAATGCGAGTCTAGCCCGTTGTTTGTTCGAACACAGTTGGCACAGTCTTTGACGTTGCTAAAGAACAGGTCGCCAAGTGAGGTAGATTGGTCGCATAATTCCCGCATCTCCAAGGGTTCGTAGTCGTTTTTGAGAAATACTGATAGGTTTGTTAGTTTCCTTGCTGCAGCCCGTCATACGGCCTAGATCGGGATAAGACGAAGTAGAGCAACTTTCATAATGCAATTTGATTAGATCGGAAAGAGGTTCGAAGCTGGTAAATATGACCTGTCAAAATGATAGCCCGTATATAATAATACGCTGACACATGGAACGGACCCTGACCCCAAACAATATATCAGTATTAATGTGCGAATAGTGTAGACTGAGGGTTATATCTGGTTTGAGGCTACACCAACTAAAATAAACCCAACGTCACAATCACACAATCAAGTAGCATATCTCCAGTATACTCATTCAATTCAAAAAGTCTCCACCTGTCTCCTTCAAAATCAATTGGTACTCGGGAGCGAATTGCATATACATGACCTCAGGAGTACCTGTTCCTTGCTTGGTGTAGAGAGCAACTTCATCATCCACCAAGGTCTTCTTCAAAACTCCTTCGCTTGCACCAATCGACCCAGGTGCCGTCGCAGATTCCACCAGAATCTGAGTCTGACATGCCCTCTCCAATGCTATAAAAAAGGCCGCCGCTTCCGCAACCGTGCCACCGGCAGTAAGTAGGCCATGATTCTGCATGATCAAACATTTGTTTTTAGGGCCAAGGTAATCAGCAATACGCTGGCCCTCTCCCTGGGCGAAAACGACTCCTCCAAAAGCCGGATATACCGAAAGATCGTCGTAGAACATGCAAGAGTCTTGAATTTTGGAATAGTGTTAGCAAAAATATGGGTCCACACCTGTTGACCAGGTATTTTACCTTGATTCAACATATCAATTCCCCTGCCAAAAGTGCTCCAGGCCCTTCCAAAGGGACTGTGCATATGGCAGGCCGCATGAATATCGGGTCGCCTCTGGTGGATTGCTGAATGAATAATAAATCCAGCCGTGTTGACTGGCTTATTTGCGCCAGCGACTCTATTTCCTTGTTCGTCTACCCGGACCATATCAGAGACTTTTAAAAGGGCGAAGTGTACTCCATACGGGTTGATCCAGAACGTGCGGGGTTCGACGGGGTCTTTGGAGTGTTAGAACATCAAGATGAACAACTGCTATTGTCGGAGTATGGGGAATCCAACATAACATACCTCGGACACTTATATGGCCACTACCACCATCTGAGAATCCCAGTTTGGCGAATATGCGAAAGGCGCCCGCCATCTGCTCGAGAAGCCATTGTCGCTCTTCTTCTTTGTTGGTGGGTTTTGGAATGTGATGCAGCCTGTTCACTTTGCCATTGCCGCTTGTTTCTGTGTTTAAGGCAGAAGTCGGCTTCTGTTCAATAGTCGCAGACGATGACATTTTGAGTACGTTGTGGCTTGGGTGAATAGGAGAGTGGTTTGACCGACGCTAGAAATACCCGAGGCAGATACATGATAACCCCGCAGAAGGATTGACTCAATGACTTTTGTATTGATTATAATTCAAATATACAAGCTATCAAAAGAGGACGTTGGTATATCTGTCTTTATGAAATAAATGAGTCATGTCCTCCTCGTAGGACACAAAAGTCTACACTCACTGCTGTTACCATCTTACCTATTTAGATCTAATCGAGCTAGTGCGTCTCTGACTTTAGAATATGGGGGGATCGAGAATGGTATAACTTATAAAGGTTAAGCTTCGCTCAGCATCTATCGTTACGAAGAACCACTGGAACGTATATTTATAGTTAACAATCAAAATCAAAGAGAAAGGACAAACAGTACAATGCAGAAGCACAGGCAGAACTACATATATTTCGGCAAATCAGACCAAACTCTGGCCTGTTGCGAGAGTTGGGTCCAGATGAGGAAACTCTGTAACAGGATGAAGCCTTCCAGTTCGGAAGGGCGTGGCCAATTCTGTCGGCGTTGCGGTAGGGAGAGTCCTCTGACCATCTGGCATCCCCGGGTTATAGTTAAAAACCCAAAGACGCATCGACTGATCAGGAGAGGTTCCAGTGTAGAACCTGTGTCGCAGCCATGACCCACTCAAACGGTCATTGCCACCCCTCGTTGATCTACCAGGCTGGATAGAAGCTGGTATCGCCTCCCAGTTGGAGGCCATCCAGTCTGATTCATCTTCACTCCACATATTGACTTCGAATTCTCTAAATAGCGATGGGATACGCCTCCCATCTGCGACATAAAGAACCCCAACGCCCAGGCATCGGGGCATGGGGAATTTGGTTCCAGTGCGTGGATCAACCTGAAGAGCCTCGAGGTCTTCTTCAAAAATATTCATATGTGTAGACCCGGTGTCATCCATAAACGAGAATTCACAGCATGGCGGTCTGGGGGGTGGGGGATTTCCAGCTGCAGGCGCCGGAGCCAGAGTGCGCGGGAGCCGAAGGCTAAGTTTCACCTAAATAAGTTATTAGAAATAGCACTCAGCAAAGTGGCCAAAATAGAGAAATTGAGAAGGAATGGTTACCATTGTGGCATTCAATTGCGGATCCGGTTGGCATACCATCGAAGCCTTGCTCATTCCAGGCCCTGGTCCGAGAATCTGAATACTTAGCTTTAGTATGTTTATTAATACAATAAATGGGCATTCGATAAAACTTACACCTTCGACCCAAAATCCTTCATGTCCCCGACTTTTGTCATGTATGTGGCGGTATTCATCCCAGTGAAAAGGTCTCGGCAGGCAGAGCTGAACTCCAGCATGCCAATAGGTGACAAAGTCCGGATGCCAATCTAATTCACCTGTTCGATATTGTGCTATGATAGCTTTCACCGTATCGACCATTTTGTGTACGTCGTTTCCTGTCTCGAGCCAAGTCAAAGTAAGTTTGAGATCCTCTAGGCGTTGTACAACAGGCCAACTTAGCCCTGGCTCTGTGGCCATCAGTGCACTGGGTAGAAAAGAATCAGTCTCTATTATGAAACTTGGAGTTATGAGATGGCTCACTCGCGGTCTGCCTGCCTTTGCATAAATTCTTTCATTTTATGTTGATAGACATGAGGCATGATATTCGTTGCAATCCGCTCAACACACCGGTCGATCTGAGATTCGAAGTCACTAAATAGGAAATGTCAATTATCAAATATAAAAACAAAGAGGCGACATCAATTAGGTAGAGTAGGTAGAACGTACTCGGACAATAGATCAGGCTCATCTGAGTTCCAACCTCTAGGTGCATTCTCTCGCTCGGTAATAATATCTTTTACTCTTCCCCATTCCTTTTTCTTGGGCATTTGCAGCCTAAGCTTCTTCCTTCTTTTCGAATAATCAGTGTTGAGATCGGCCGCAAGAAGTTCCACGTCCAGGATCTGCGGAATTGCCGCTTTTGTCTTCTTCCTTGCAGGGGTTGCCTCTGAGTCTCCATTCAGGCCACTTTTCTTGCGTTTTCCGCTGGGCTGCTTGGGTGTCGTTTTACCGTTCGGTTTTGCGGCCGGGGTGGGTTTAGCTCTTGGAGGCATTCTGCAACAGTGAAGACAGTCACAACACAAACGGTGAAGAAAATCAAATATTGAGCACAAACGGTAAATATGAAGGACTGCAACCCGAAGGTATTTGTGTTCGCATTTTGTATACGTTGGACCCATCGCACCAGATAGTTGGACGGCTCGACTATGTGATGTCAAAGAAAACTCGAAGGTTCGTAGACAAGGTAAAACAAAGAGAGCAGAGCATATCATTGGATAAACGCCAACTTTCTTTGATCATGCTGTTCATTCAGCATAGCTTTTGAAACACCCCGTTGAGTATGTTCGTGGAAGGTGTACTCTGGGTGGAGCTGGCTTTGACGATTCCTCGAATATTCTTTTGGCATTTTCGTTTCAGACTTAACAAGACTTATACTACTTACCAGGGCTTTACCTGGGTCAGTCTTTGTTGCTATACCTGATGAAAATGGGCTTCGAAGCGGGGGAATTTGTCAAACAAAGATCTGTGGTTTCAACCCCAAAGGTTTAGAGCCTTCACTCGGGTTTACTTCGAGCCATGAAAGATATCGGCTAACTCCATCTAAGCCAAAAATAAAATGTGGCGCGATAGAATATACGCTTCTCATGGCGAAACCCCGTGGAACTTGGAGATTGGCATTTGCATCAGTCATAGAGAAATATCATGAATCGAAAATGAAATCCACGCATAGACGGTTCGGGATAGTCTCCCGGTCTAGATTTCACCCCAGTAAGCTTGCGGATTAAAAGCCTGGCTTTTTGTTGACGTTCTTTCTACTCTTGTTTCTCCCAATATATAACAGGGCGCCTGGTTTTCTACCAAAACATGAAGTTCGCTTGAAATTATGAGTTTCTACAAGCTCTCGCTGTTGTGCATGTAAATAAGATTTTGTGCGAAGGGGGAAAAAAAACCTCTGTATGAGCAATCCCAATTTAGAATCCCAAAAGAGGTTAGCCTCGGAAATTAGCATTTGCTAACCTTAACTAATCTAATCTGATCTCCATACTGATACGGTAGGCACACAATTGCACAGGCTTCTAAATAAACTACAATCAGAGAGTTCGCGTGGGCAATTTTGTTTACATATATATTCAGTGTATCTAAAGTTGAATGATACCCTCAACTTCGTACGACTCAGCTTGACCATACATTTAATAAGTATATTGTAGCAATATTCCGGCAGGCCATTCTTAGCTGCATGTAAATTTGTCTCTGAACTCTCACCGTGGCTTGCTCCAAGGTCTGACCTCGTCGGTTCCGACATTGGACTTTTGAACGAGATCAAACTGCGGGTCATCTGTTTGGCTGCATGGGAAAACGGTAGCACTTGTCCCGTTTTGAATTTACCAACGCCGCAAAATATTCCTTGGGAAGGAACTAACTGCAAGCCATCCCACGTGCGGTATCTCGTCAAGGCGCATGAATTATTCCCATGGTGACACCCGCACCACCAGCTATCTCGTCTCGCTACCGAATGTCCAGCTCGGAGGTTTGGGAGATGTTGGCTTGGGGCTAAGGTAACTCAATCCGTTTGATCTTAAGATCGTTTGGCATCTGCAAGACCAGCACCCGACACTTTGGCCTTTTTTTTACAAATTTCGAGAAACAACAAGATAAAATGGAGGGAAGTCAATAAGCAAGACAAACACTCCATTAACTCATCCAAATTATGCAAACCATGCAAACATTTCAAACCACTCGGAACAACCCCCTTTTATTCACGTTACTGCTTGCATTGTGTCGCGATCAGGATTTTTACGCCAGGAGGAGAACGAATCTTAATGTCACTTGACTCATAACCTGTATTCAACTACTCTGTACCCGGTGCTAACAATCAGGTTAGGTAGAATGATAAGTCCAACAGCTGGCCTTGGCGGGCCTATTTCACATGAACCCTGGCGATCTCTGCCAGATCCGAGGGAGCGGTAAATCAACGAATTTCATTCGACAACTTTACAACGCTAAAAACTTGAGACAGCGGGCAGGGATTGTTGATTGGTTCTGTGGGGAATTGAACGGAACTAATGCTTATTAGATTTAGGGGCGGCTACTGGGTTTCCTAGAGTCGTTTGGACGGAGGGGAGATGGCGGCTAGACGCCCACTACCAGACCCCTTGACCTAATAATAATACTTTGATTTCCCAATCGTAGCGGGATGGAACCTTCAATCTGTCTCTGCCGCTATGGTGTTTCCCACGTATTGAACGATTCTCCCGTTTACATACTTACCCTTCTGATCTTTAATGTGCATTGCCTGTGTGCCCCAAAACAAGCGATAAAACCGCCAAGTCACAATCAAGTCTGCTCACATGGATGGAATCGAAGCCGTTCCCGATTTAAGGAGGAGCGCAATCAGCTATGGTGGACTTGAACTCGTTTCCGATCTCAAGAGGTGGCCTAAAAGCTATGATGGACTTCAAGTCGTCGTTGAACAGGAAAAGGAAGTCAAAATAACTCGTGGTGGATTATATTACGTGTCTGGCCCAGAAAGGTCAGGGTCCAGCATACCTGACAATGATCTAGCGAATGCGGATGGTCCAAAGGATGCCAAAAGAGTATGCGGAGTGAGGCCCAGTGTGTTCTGGCTGCTATTAGTGATCGCGGTCTTGATCGTCGTGATCGCTGCCGTGGGTGGTGGAGTTGGAGGATCGTATTTAGCAAACAGAGACAAAGGGTATGTCTGCTGCTTCTTCTTCTTCTTCTTCTTCTTCTTCTTCTTCTTCTTCTTCTTGCGGAGCTGGTATTCATTTAACACATGTCACAGCAGCTCCGACCCAAGAACACCCGGGTCAAATACTACCTCTGCAATGCCTATCATAACCAGAACATCTGACGGCGGCTCCTTTACAAAAACACTGCAGCACAAGGTCGATTCTTCGATGTCTACCACGCCCAGCATCTCTGATAGTGACTCCTCTTCAACAATATCCGAGTCTAGTGAAGATTCTACGATGTCGATAACAGCCACAACATCCTCCAACTCGGAGACCTCCACCGTAACCAAGGCCTCCAAAACATCATCAGCGGCTGTTACATCAGGCACTTCAGGCATAGCTTCCAATCCATGCCCGGGTCAAAATCTCACCACACTTACTGGCTCCGATGGATCGATATTTACATTACTATGTGCCGTCGACTGGCCGGGTGGCATTAAAACAGCATATGGGAACGGAAAGGTCGCTGACTTGACGAGGTCCACTGAATATACCTTGAAGTCATGCATTTCACAATGTGTGCAATGGAATACGGAGAATAACGAGAAGTGCAAGGGTGTCACCTACCTTGCAAATTTGACAGCTGCATATGGTGGTGGACAGGACGGCAATTGCTTTTTGAAGAATAGTGTTGGTAGATATTATCCTAATTCGGATACCTCTATGGCCGCTGGGATATTGGGAGGCTGAGGTGTATACTTGATGTTGTCGACATGTATAATAATGAAATTAAACAACAATTTAAATAAATACCTTCAGTGCTAGTTCCATTCTAGTTGCTCGTATACTGTCTAAGATATCTATCTTTCATGTTCTCGACAAGTTACACACAGATTACAGATTGAATGGACAGTGGCAGTCATACATGCAAGTAAGCTTGGCCGTGAATGTGGGATTAAAGTGATCTTCCCCAGTAAGTTGCAGCTCAACTACTTACCTAGTTGCGTGTTCCGTATCAGCTTCTGCCACGCACTCGTCCCATCCACCCACACCCAGGCACATGGAAAGAACCCCCCGCGCGTAACAAATTCAATAGATCGTGGCACCCGAGATTTTCACCAGATTACTGAAAAAGCGCAAGGGGATATATCCGTGCCCCAGGCCTAAATGCGGATCTCCAAATGCAATCGGAATCTCTGATTCCACCTGTGAAGTCAACGGCGACCCCTTTAATGGATGGAAACTATTGATCCCACCTCTAGAACAACGCGTTCTCAAATTCGATGCCCGACAATGCAACCGCCAACAAGCAAGTCACTTCTTCCATCTCCCAATAGAAGTCAGGACACTGATTTATATCGAGTTAATGGGTGATCGGCGCGTACATATCGAGCATGCGTGGATGTTGCCGTCGCCATTTCGTCCGAACCCGAAGCGGGACAGGGAGCGGTGGGAATGGTGGCATGGCGCTTGCCAGAAGAGTGCATCTTATTTTGATGACCGGTGTTGGAATCGTAAGGATGAGACGTACGCGACCAGATTCGAGGGGTTGAAGAGTGCGCCGGCCGGGACGAAACTTGGGGGAGTAGAGTGGTTGAGGTGTTGTCAGATCGGGTGAGTCTTTAGTCTTTTTGGTGGATGTAGTGCAAGCATGGCTTATATTATTCTCTAGCTATGAAGAGACATTAAGAGTCCTGTACGGGACGAATGTCTTTGTTCTGCGGACCGGGTTAGACACTCCATTCATCATGTCTAGGCTTTTCTCGGCCGCCTGTTCCTCCCTAATCACGTCTATGGAAATCTCTTTTGATTACTGGTACAAATTAGACGAAACACCACAGGCCGCAGCTTGGGAGACGGTCTACCCGGCCTTATTTGATCTGTTCGAGCATTGCTTCTGCAAAGTTCACAAGTTGCGCCTGACGATGCATATTCCAGCCTGGGAGAAGGTTAGATGGACTATTAACAATGACAAGATCGACGCGATTCTTGCGCCGTGGGAGAGACTTGCACAGAGTCGAGATTGGACTAGTTTAAAGCTCTGTGTTCCGTCTGACTGGCTTCCTTGCTTAACAGGCAGGGCGGGGAATCAGACGAGGTGGGAGTTGATGATGACTGACTGGTACGAGCGCACGCCTGGTGTCGAGTATTCATAAAATGATAGTCAATTTCTTTGACATGATATTCACGAATCTCGTGTTAGTGCTTATTAGCAGCTGGAGGTACCGGCGTAGGTTGTATAGGGGAGATCAGATACTGAAACCTCAAGGACGTACCGGGATTAGAGAGTTAGTTGTGATGTTGATTTTTGTAATGGGTAGTGATTAGAAGGAAGTTGCTGTACACAATCTTATACTTTAATTTCGTTATGCCGGATACTTGTGTGTTCGGATTTGAGTAAAAATATCAGACGACGAGCATTCGATTGAAATTCAGAGCACCTCTTCATATCGCCATGGCTCATATGAGTTTATGATGTAGTAGTTATCAGACTTTGTTCCTGACATGGGCATCAGGGCAACGGTTGTGGGTGAAGCTTTCCCGGCCTTACCCAAACAAGGCCTAAACTTAGCCAAGACTGAGCAAACTGGCATATCAACAAAATCAGGTAGTAAAAACCATGTAGGACTATTAAGTATTCTCTGTTCTTTCTACGGTTGTCATCTTGATATATATACGGCAGGTTTGGGGGCCCATCGCGCTAACCCGCTGGCAGGTTAACCAACTGCCATCAACATTTATACATATATGTAATCTCTTAAAGATCTAGGTATATCTTGCATCGAAGGTGCTCTACTAACAATATAAGGGAATAATTAGCCCGTCATTTTCTAAAAGATTATAGGAAAGACCTTTAAAAAAACCGATGGAAAGATGACAATAAAGTGGGTTTTATAGTAGCGCTAGGCTTTCTCTACGGGATGTACGAGCGATTTAGATATTATAGATGTTTTGGACTAGGGCATATATCGAGTTCATAAATCTATCGCTTTAGGATGGATTATCCTAGACATATCCAATCAACGACCCTTAGGTTGTGCTGGCTGCAGAACTGATATAATTTGCCCCCGTACGAGCCTTGACCCCAGCTCTCCACCAATCCAGCCCAGAAACATCCTGGTCATTCTGGGTTGTGGTTTTGCCATAACCTTCCCTCTGCAAGAAAGGACTATCCAAAGACTTCCATTGCAATTTATCAGTAGGCCGCACAAAGTATAACAATCCCAATCGATCAAGGTGCGCCTGATCTTCTGGTGGCGCTATAACTCGGTGAAATCCACTTTTTAGGTACCCATTTGTGAGGAACTGAAGCGTATCGGCGATGTTGACAGCGACAGAGCCAGCGGGAATCCTCAAATACTCCCAATCTTTATCTTTGGTCTGTTGCACCTGTAGTGCTGATATTGGTTGCTGGAATAGGAACGTCATGGTTCCCTTATCCGTGTGCCCACGGAAGTAAACATCGTCAAACGTCTTGTTTTCTTCTCGGGATCGAGCATGGTATAGCATATAGCGGATAGAGCTGTCACATTCATCTTCGTAGCGGTTGCCGTCCACGAACTGGTCTTCCGGTAGCTCGAGCATAATCGCTAATATCCGGAGGAGCTTGAAGGAGACATTCTCATGCATGAAGCGAGAGAATCTCTCAATCTCCACGGAGTATTGAGTGATCGGATCTGGGTGTGACCGCTCGCTTTGGGGAATGAATTTGAAGATGCTGTAAAATTCCAACGTATCTTGCATCCCAGGGAAAAGGCTTAGTGCTCCTAGGGGACGGTATCCATTGTAGCTACCCTCCTCTAAGGGAGCACGATGTCTCAGTCGTTCTTCTTCGGGTAGTTCAAAAAGTGCCTTTGCAATGGCAAATTGGAGATCAATCTCCTCCTGAGACAGACCAATGTTGGTGATATAGAAGAAGCCTTCTTTTGTCAATATCTCTCTGTTTCGGGGAGGTCGTGAGAGCAATACCAACTTGGTGCACATATTGTTTGAATTTCTGTGCCAGTCTCTCTTTTCCTCCCGGGCGATCATATTCAGAAAGATCGATAGTGACAATACTCGCATATTTCACTAGCAGATGTCAGTCTTCCAATTCAATCATATACCAATAGTTCTTACTCACACGGACATTCTGTCTCGGGTGGATGCTCATATTTCGGCAAATTCATATTAAAGCCGGATGAACTAGGCAAGAAATCCAACTGAGACCTGCTTAGTTTAAATCACGACATGGGAAGAAATAGATCAGACTTTGCAGCTTGAACCCCAGATAATTCAAGGTCGCCACTTCGTTAATTTCCCCATAGCATAGTGGATCGTCGGTTCCACTCTGGACGCTAAATAGGAATATTGTCATCGTGTTAATGTGATCTGCCATATTACAAACATATATGTGGAGATGTATATACTCCATAGTCAACCTCAACTTGCTCTTATTATTGGTTAATCCCGCTGGGAGCTGCGCTGACACATTAAGGGTCTCCACACCGCCAGTCTGCTGATTTTTATAAAGGCAGGTCTTGATCGAGCCAATAAAAGCAACTTCTACTCAGAAAATCCACCGATGTGATTCTCGTACGACTTGGTGGGGTTTATCCTTCACTCCACAATGACTTATGAAGGGTAAGGCACAGCTTGCTGCCTAGGTGAAGACGTCCTATGTCACTCAGCTTTTAGTCCATATTGTAGTGCCAGAACAGTCTCACAAAGAGCGATCAATAATAGTTCTGTGCTCATCGCCAGATTTATTTGTAGCAAAAGCTCAATGTCATACTTCCAAACTACGGCCAATTCTGTCGATGAAACCTGGGGGAAGGGGGTAGCTAATATGTACGTAGTACTCGGTGTGAGACGGACAAGATTAAAGCTAGAAAACTACTAACTAGCAGAAGCTGAGGAATTAGAATACAGACACAAACATTGTATAGTACTGGCCCTAAGTGCCAAATCTATCTGACTAGGACTACATTCACTTTCATAATAGTAAAGTAAGAAGAAATATCAACCATAATAATGGATGGTTACAGAACAATCACATAATGTACAGGGGGTTCATAAAAAAAGGACCAGGGTGGTATCAACCCATAACAAGCAAACCAAAAATTGTAAAACTCCTCTGACCAAACCGAAAGGAAAAAGTGACCAAACTCCGAGAGAATCGAAAGCAAAATTAGAGATATTCATTCAGCCTCCCATGAAGCAACTCGTAACCTCTCTCTTCAAGATGAACGGGGGCGTTGAGCCGACGGAGCTCCAACAGGCTCCTGTATTAACAAGCCAGTCAGTGATGAAACTTCTTGAAGATCTTTTTACGAAGTAGAGTACGAACCGAGCTGGCACGACGCTTTCGCCTGCTGCTATCTCCGGCTCCGGGGTTAGCAGTCTCATTCTGAGACCTGTGGACCTCGCCCCCGACGGAAATGCTGTTGTTTCGGCCATTCACCCGAATGCCCGCGAGAGCGCGAATGTTGATGGGCCTAGGATATCCCACATCATCATTGAGGGCATTTGCGCGATCCAGCGCAGCGATGATGACAGCCGCGACGGGGGTGAGGTGAGATGTCTGGGCCTCGTGGTGAGTTGGACCAGTGAAAGAATCAGATCCAGGAGATGACACCGTGATGGTGTTCTCATCACCAGTTACGGCGATTGAGTTGTCAATGTAAATATTGATTGGCGAGGCCCATGGATCATCCATGTCGTGCTGATCGACGCTCATGACAGTTGTGCCACTGGGTCTGGTGACAGATAATGTGTATGGAGGTGGGGCCGGGCCTGGAGTAGAAGTAGAAGAGATAGGAGAGGTAGAAGATATAGAAGCATGGCGATTTGCCCGGACTTCAGCGAGCTTATGTAGATGGTGTCGCAAAGAATCTGATGGAGGCATCATTGTGAATGTTTATTTTAGCAGTGTTTGTAGAGTGAAGAAGAAAAGTGTGCAGCAGTGGGTTGCCTGGGTATTTAAGGTCGAGCGTTTGTCCGGTTGAATGGGCGCAAACAATAGGAAAGAGGACAATCAATAGACAATCAATAGACAGCCAATCAGAGGCCGATGTGGGCCCATTGAGTTGCCTAATTGGGAACCTTCAATGGACTTCGATTGTTCTCAATAAAGATCACGTGATTGCTATTGTTCAGGGTATCAATAGAATTAAAACTATGTACCGGGTACCTACACCATGGTAAAAATTACCGTAGTCAAGAAGGTACCTATACATTCAGTGCCATGGTTTCGCTAGTGTAGAAAATGCGCCTCCAATTCTCTTCCCAAAAAGCAAATCGGATCGCTGCGACGGTCCACAAGCCCCTGGTTGTGGAGCAATCCTTCGTAAAGTGCGTCGGTGTCACCATCACCAACTGGATTGGAACCCAGATGATCGGACGTTCCTTCTTCGGTCGGTCGGGAATCTCCGCCTACACCATCTGGGAAAGTAGGCATGCCTGGTCAGGTTGGCTGGTCTTTTATAGGCGCGGGACATCAGACCCTACCGATAGGGTTGTGTGGTTCATTACTGCTAGACGGGATATCGAAACCAGTGTGGCCTGGGCGGGGTTGGCCCGGGTAGTATCGCCCACCTGGGTGAAGAGATTGCGCCGTCTGCAAATGATTATTAGCAAGGACAACGGCCCTTGTAGATTATCCGAGTTATACCGGTGTTTCTGTCACATCCGACATCCAAACCGTTACGGGTTGGTACTGACTTCGCGGAAATCATCTCCTTCAACTTCGACCTCGCGATCTCGAATCCGACGCATCAAGGCTAGGAAATTGCTTTGTTGGAATTTTTGGCTTTGTTCGTTACGCACGCTGTCAAGCAGTTGCCCTGCTGTCCGCGCAAGTTCGTCTGCGTCTCGACTCCGTGTTTGCGGGTCCTGTTTGTCGCTTTGGGGAATAAGATCCGATCCGAGTCGAATCTGCTCGTGGTTGACTGGCTCGGAAACGTCGACTTCGTTGGTCTCGTGCAAGTTCTTCTGAGTATCTTGCTGGGCAAGCCCAGCTCCTTGCAACTCCATATCCGCCCGTGCCTGATCAAAGGCAGCCTCAAAGGCGGATTCGTCAAACTGCTGGGTGTGATTTTGTTGGGTCTGCATAGCCTGTTCGGGCTGTATCTGAGTCGTAGAGCCATACATCTGGTAGCCTGGCGCAAAAGATGGCTGATAGGCACCATGCATTTGCGGGTTTTGCTGGGCCCGGGCCATAGGCCCTCGTTGTTGAGTCATGAATTCAGTGTGCCACCCGCCATGTGTCGCCGCTGGTGCAATATTTGGTCTTTGCAGTTGCGCTACAGGATGTGAGGGCCCCGAGATTTGCAAGTTCTGGAAGTCCGCTGCCCAACCAGCGTTGCCTGCACTGTGTGCGGCTTGGTGGTGTAGCGCGGCATGATGTAATGGTGCTCCAAAATTGGCAGGGTGTTGCAAGTTAGGCAATGCAGGGCCGGCGAGGTTGCCTTCGAATGCGGCGAACTCTGGGTCGAGTATTCCTTCTTGGGGGTTCTGGGATCGGAAACCCTGGAGTATGTTGTTAGTATGGTTAAAACTATGTGATCTTAAAAGCGCTACCAACCTGAACAGGCGATTGACGTGAAGTCAGCCGGTCTTGCTGAAGGGTCCGATCAACAGATGTATGCTTCTGGAAGTTCTGAAGGGCGTTCGACGGCCCGCACAGCGCATCAGCCATAATGACGCTTAAATCGACCAAAGTTGAACGAAAAGTGTAGTAGTGTTATATTCGCCTTCAAATCTCTTCGTAATCGATCGCCAGCACAAATTACAGAAATAATAAAGAGGCGTTGGACTTCACAAGAGACTCCGCGCCACTCCTGCCGTGGGGTTACCGACGGCCGAGGCTCATCACGTGCATAGATACAGGTAACGTGACCCAGCGCTAAGCACACGATAAGATACGGGAAGGGCCAGGTTGTTTGGCTGAAAGGGAGAGAGCTGCTCCGACTCCCCGCGCTTTCACAGCTGTCAAATTTATTGTTTGCTTTATTTAATCCAACATGGTAATTGCTATTCAGCTACATGAATTTGCGCTTGTTTCTCAATCCCACCGCTAACAGCTTCAAACCTCCAGGCGACCCCTCAGGTGATCTCGAATTCCGGACACGAAGAGATGATTGTATGTGCTAAGATATACAAACTACAATTGGTGGTTTATGTGTTTATACAATGTACTCAAGCTAACTGAGCTATGTGGAATATAGCACGATGCTGGCTTGGACTATTACGGCCGACGGTTGGCCACATGTTCGTCCGACAAAACGATAAAGATCTTTGAGATTGAGGGAGAATCACACCGACTGGTCGAGACTCTGAAGGGGTAAGCTGGACTTGTTGATGTGTGCAACTAAAACCTGGTCACTGACATGGGTATTGGATAGCCATGAGGGTGCTGTGTGGTGTGTCGCATGGGTGAGTGATACCCCAAAACATCAGGCAGTGTAGCGCGCAATTCGACTGATCATGCCATTCTCTTGATCTAGGCTCATCCGAAATTCGGCACAATTCTGGCCTCATCTTCCTACGATGGCAAGGTTCTGATCTGGCGGGAACAGCCCCTGAATGCGACCTCGCCCTCCGGTGGTACCACATGGGCCAAGGTCTTCGATTTCTCCCTTCACACGGCCTCTGTGAACATGGTCTCCTGGGCTCCCCATGAGAGCGGATGTCTTCTTGCCTGCGCTTCGTCCGACGGCCATGTCAGCGTTCTTGAGTTCCGTGACAACATCTGGACCCACCAGAACTTCCATGCCCACGGAATGGGCGTCAACTCTATCAGCTGGGCCCCTGCGGCCTCTGCTGGTAGCCTCATCAGCTCTGTCCCCGGACCCGGCCAACAGCGCCGGTTTGTTACCGGTGGCAGCGACAACCTGGTCAAGATCTGGGAGTATAAGTATGTTGATTGATAGGCCTTCCCAAACATACAGCTATGACGTGAACTGACTCAATGCTCTCTAGCCTGGAGTCCAAATCGTACAACCTCACTCAAACCCTCGAGGGACACTCAGACTGGGTCCGTGATGTGGCCTGGTCCCCGAGCATCCTCTCAAAGTCCTACATCGCCTCAGCCGCGCAAGATAAGACCGTTCGCATTTGGACTTCTGATGCGTCCAACCCGGGCCAGTGGACCAGCCAAACACTGGAGTTTGACACTGTTCTGTGGCGCGTTAGCTGGAGTCTCAGCGGCAACATCCTTGCCGTTAGCGGAGGTGATAACAAGGTCACTTTGTGGAAGGAGAACCTCAAGGGAGAGTGGGAGAAGGTCAAGGATATCGAAGAGTAGTGGCTGTTTTAATTTCTATGTGTCATCTATTCCCTTCCTCAACGCATAATTTTCTGCTATCCAAAAGCTACATTGCTTGTTACCATAAATATTGATTTCACTGCGAGAATCCTACGTCAATTTCCAGCGCTTTGGGCAAGCTTGGTCTGTTTCATTCCCTATATCATCCATCGCTCAGCTACCCGACAAAAAAAAGGTAAAACAAAGAAAAATACAAACGAGAGGCAAACGAAAGGCAAACGAAAATGAAAGCGTAAAAGGCACCGGACGTGGCCTTCACACGTCCCAGAAGATGAATGGGCCTCTAGTCTCTGGCTCCTTCAGATCCACCCATCGTCCCAGCATAATGCGGCCACCGGGGATGATGACAGCCTCATATCCATGGATCCAGCCCTCGCCGTCCATCGCAGGGGAGGGAGGCATTTCATCTTCTTCGTCATCTACCTCAACGATGGTGAAACAGATCCGGGTCCATCCCTCAAAGCCCCCATGGGGGACAGCAATCTCTTCGGTAAACCCGAACACATAGTTCCCTGCCTCATAGGCGGCCCCGTAGGCTCTCTGCCTGCCATCGAAATATATCCGGTTAATGTCCGGACGACTAGCGAGAGGGATGAGCTTGCTGCATTGCTCGGGCCAGAACTTTTCGGGGGAGGGTTGAAGGTCGAGGGTCTTGACATAGGTTAGCCGAGTCATCACAGCCTTCCAAGCAACTCGCCATCTACTCACCATTACGTCGATTGAGTCCCCATGTGTCTCAAGATCGGCGCATGTCTGGCGCTCGTCGAGTCTGCACAGATCTGACAGCGGATGCATGCATGCTAATTGGAAACTAATGTCAGCTTGGGCTAATGATTAGAGCTTCTTTCTGTCGGTATACTCACAATAGTATCCTAGCCACGATGGGCTTAGTTTGGATATCTCGGCTAGATTATCCTTTCGCGTCTTTGGCTTCAGCTCTTCGGGCATCCCAGAGAAGGATTCTTGATAGGTAAGCTCAGATGCGTTCAGAAAGTGACGTTGCCAGAAATTGCGCAAGTTCAGCAGTTTTGCGAGATCAAGTTCATCGTGGTCGATGAATGCCCCACCCACCCTTTCTTCATATGAATAGACTTGTCTGATGTCGTAGTCGGTTCGACGACAAGGCTCGGTGATGGTTGGGTCGAGAGCAAACGAAGTTAGGCACTTTGAATAGCAAATCAGTGAATGTACACTCCATTTTGCAACGAAATGCGTGTACCAACTGGAGAGCATAAAATAGTTGCGAGGAAGTTCTTTCTTTTTGAAACTGGCTTAGAAATTCTACCCCCCTCAGGGTCTCACGGATACTTCGCAGGGTCTTTGATATCTCTCCAACAGCGATGGGTATCTTCAGATATTCCTCGAGCATAGTCTGCATAACCTCCATCCAGAGGTATTGACGATCATCTTCCTCATCTTTGAATTGGATTGGAGCGCTCAACACGATGGCACGGATCTGGTATTCGAGCATCAACTCCCTGGAAGGTCTTCCCGGCGCCAGGTCATAGTGTTTAGCAAAGCGAGCTCGCCATATGGCGGACTCGTATTCGAAGACCTTAGCCCACATCTCTTTACAAGATTGGGAGAGATGGAGAACATCACGATCGCTGGGCAGACAGCATGCGATTTCCTGGAGAATCTGTTGATCTTAAATATCAATGGCTGCAATCTACATTGTAGAATATAGACATATACTTGCCTCATTCGGGAGCTCCAGCAGTCGGCTGCGAGCACTTTGCATGGTAGTTGAAGCAGACTGTACGAGGTTGGTGTTTGACATGGCCGTGTCTGTTGTATACATAGTTCAGTATCCAGGTACACAGTTTGAAGAATCAACGTGAAACTGGAGAGGTAAGGTAAGACTGGGAAGAAGAGGCAGTAAAAGTTCAATATGTTCATTCAGATGTCCTTGAAACAATCGGTTATAAAATGTGCGATGCCATGGTGGATCGTTCAATAGTCTAATTGATAAGGCTGGTGATTGTTTGCAATGCGCCAGGTTATGAGAGACTACTCAGTGTGGCCAATGAGATTCCTCTCAGATGTCAATAGGACAAAGAGAAATCAAGAGAAACAACTGCTCTGTTCAAATTGAACCTCCTCATGAGACCAAATGAAGCACGTGCCTCCAAAGATTGACATATTTTGTTTACATGCTCGGTATATAGGCTATATATGTTGTGAGAGACGGCGTCGCTGTAGGCTTTCTCTCACTCCCCAGCCATTTGCTAACAGACCCTTGACTTCCTCGAGCCCCAATCCACTCATCTCGGGGTAAATCGCCCATACAGCAACCCATCCAGCGACACAAACGAGTGCATAGAGAGCAAACGTCCATGAGGGTGAGATCCATTCCATCATGGGCAGGAATGTAAGACCGATTATGAAGTTCGATCCCCAGTTGGTTGCAGTGGCCAGTCCTGACCCCAGAGAACGTACATTCAGAGGGAAGAGCTCAGACTGCTGCCAGGGGACATTGCCGAGTCCGAGGGCATACGCTGCAGTATAGACAGTAAGACAGAGCAAAATTGCAATAGGCACAAGAGAACCAGGGCTATCATGATTTTCTTGGGGGCCAGTTGGAGGCTCTGAATTCCATTTGCCGTCCATTGACGAAAACGAGAAAGCACAGACGACCAGAGCAACAACCATGACAGGGATTGAATACAGGAGGATGCGCCGGCGTCCGATCCTGTCAATCAACACAAATGCAAACAACGTGAAGACGAAGTTCGTCATAGCCACCGAGAGTGATGTCAATGTCGGCGAGGAGAATGCAAGGGAGGAGAAGATGGTTGCTGAAAAATACATCAGGCTATTGAATCCACAGAGCTGCTGGACCGCCTGGAGCATCATTGCTATGATCAATGCTCTTCTGTTTCCACCATGCAACAACTGCTGGCCCCGTTGAATGGTATCATGTAACCATTGGGGCTTTGTGCCACGAGACTTGGGTTGTCCCATCTCCGATGCCTCTTGGACGATTTCTCCATTGATATTGCGCAACACACGGTCCACCACCTGGTCACACCCAGGGCAATCTTGATAGATTTTAATCAGGACATTCTTCGCCCGGGCATCGAATCCAGCCTGGACCAGCCATCGAGGCGTCTCAGGTAGCAGAGCGAGAATAGCAAGCTGGACGAAGGCCGGGAATGCTCCAATTCCCACAATCCACCGCCAGCCTCCAGTGGTGCTGGAAAACAGCCACCCAACTATGTATGCCACCACCTGGCCACCGGTAATAAACAAACTGAGGATCGTGACAAGCCTTCCTCTTGCATGGGAAGGAGCTAACTCGGAGATATACCTGGAAGTTTTTTCCCAGCATGTTAGCTATCATCAACTCTCTCATAATCAAACTTCTGCCACGGTTTAGGGTTTCAGTCACGTCCACCTGACAGGACACGGTCAACCTACAATGGTGTCACCGCACTTGCGCTACCAACAGCAAGACCAACAATGCTGCGCCCAATGATCATACCCCAAACATGGCTTGTAAAAGCCTGTGCCAAAGCTCCAAGTGCGAACAATAGATCTGCGCCAAGTATGACCTTCCGACGACCAAACTTGTCCGCCAGCACTCCGGTAAACGGACTCGCGACCAATGCAAACAGACTGGTGCAGGATGTTATGAGACTTTTATCGAGTGTTGTTAATGACCGATCCGAAAGATCTGACCCGATGGTCACCAAAGTAGACGAGATGACACCTGTGCTGGAAGTTCCGACGATTGTTAGTGAACCGGAGGGTCAACGGAGCAACATGGCGTGTATGATAGGAGCTAGCATACTCATATCCAAATAGTAAACCGCTTATCCCAGCGGAGAAGGTCAATGCCCATATAAACCAGCCTCCCGAGTATTTCAGCTCCGAGGCCAGGCTCTCATCGTGATCATTGTCATGGTCTGAAGAGGCGTGGGTTGAGGCGAGCAAAGGGGCGTGAGGACCTGACTGGTCTTGCTCATCTGTGCCCGACATATCTTCGGGCTCTTCCAGCTCTAGCCCTGAGGTATCATCTGAATTTATCCCCTGGGGCATCTGAGATGGTAACCTTAAAGTGATGGACGTTCCACGGGTCTGGGGTTGATGGCGATAAGCCGATAAGAAGACCCGCTCAAAACCCGGAGCGGAAGTCAGATTCCGCACGCCGATGTGGTTCGGTATGTTGTAAACAATGAAAGGTAGAGAGAAAGGAAACAGATATGACTGGAAGGTTATGATCTTGGAAGGAATGGCTTCATATATAACTATGCACTGCGGTGGAATGAAGGCCTAATATATCAGGCAGAGAAAAGACTAGGCTGCAGGTTACTCAAGAAATAATAATGGTCATAATGTAGATTCATGCAGGATATTCATAGTTTTTACGGCATTAATCTGTACATAAATAGCCCTACTACCTCAGTGTTTGGCCACCACACCGGCAGCATCAGCCTGCGCGGTGATCTTCTTCTTGTAGGCGTTGACGGTACCGTCAAACTTGGTAACAGTACCACCGTCGCAAACCCAGAGACTGGTGCAGACACTCTGCAACATAGTCACATCATGGGAAACCATCACCACACCTCCCTCGAACGCCCGGAGCGCATCCGCCAGGGCATCCATACCCTCGATATCCAAGTGATTGGAAGGTTCGTCAAGAACAAGGATATGAGGATTGGTCAAGGACAAGCAAGCAAATGCAACACGGGATTTCTGACCTCCAGACAGCAGCTCCATGCGTTGAAGACCAGTGGTACCAGTGATACCAAACCTATAAGATAAGAATTAGTCAATGCAGTGGATACGAATGGTTTGGATAAACTTACGCTCCCAGGTGTCGTCGGTACTCCTCGTCAGTTTTACCGGGGTACGTCTTGGTCATGAAGCCGACTGCACTGGTAGTCATGTCCAAAGCATCGACGTGATGCTGGGCGAAGAATCCAATACGCAGTCTCGAGTTTGTGGAGATGAGACCGCTTGTTGGCTCAAGCTGGTTGGTGAGTAGTTTCAGAACGGTGGTCTTACCAGCACCGTTAGGTCCGACAATTCCGATACGCGAATCAAGTTGAACATCCAGATCGACATCCTTGAGAAGAGGCTTTTCCTTGGTGTAGCCGAAGCAAACATCGGACATCTGGACAATAGGTGGTGAAAGCTTCTCGACTCCGGGGAATGCAAAGTGCACGGTGTACTCGGCTTCGGGAGCTTCAAGAACTGGCATGCGCTCAAGCTTCTTAATTCTCGATTGTGCCTCAGAGGACTTCGCGGCGTTGTATCGGAACTTATCAATGAACGCTGATGACGGTCGTTAGCACAGCCCCTATGACAAGATGGAGAGGGTGACAAACCTTGCAAGTGTGCTCTCTCGGCCATTTGCTTCTCGTATTCGCGCTTAGCGGTCTTCCGGCGCTCCTCTTTGGTCGCGTAGAAGGATTCTGCAAATTGTTAGAACCATAAATAGTCTTGAGATCCCGTGTAACTTACCGAAGTTAGCACCTCTGTAGTAGTCCAACCTCTCGGAGTGCTGGTGAATAATATCCGTGGCGACTTCGTTCAAGAATGCACGATCGTGAGAAACCACAAGGACTGTGCTGGGGTATCCCTGAAGGTAATTGGAAAGGAAAGTAATTGACGGAACGTCCAACATGTTAGACGGTTCTGTTAAAATGTCAGTAGGTTGCTTGGGGAATAAAGAGATCAGTGGTACATACCGTCAAGCAAAAGCAAATCGGGCTCGCAGAATAGGGCTCGTGCAAGAGACAAACGCATTCTCCAACCTCCGGAGAAGGTCTTGGTGGCGTACTTCTGACGCTCTTGGGAGAAACCAAGACCAGCCAAAATACTGGCCGCACGGGATTCGGCCTTATCAGACTCCATTTCTGAAAGTTTTCCATGAATATCGCTCAATGTGATATCCAGGCCCTCTCGCTCCTCATCGAGTCTAGCAGCATCCTTCGAAGTATCCGCCAATGAAGATCTTTCTTCTTCGATTTCTGCCAGTTGTTTCGAGATTTTCTATGGTCGTTAGTGAATCTGCTGCTGTGGTATGTTCTGGCTTAACTAACCGCTTGCTCTGCGAGAAGATGTTTCCGCCACACATCAGCATCCAACACTGCTTGCAAAGCTGGTGTATCGTCACCGGTAATCTACGGTAGAGAGTCAGTAACAGAAAAACAACCGAGCTGGGGTTTGAACTTACCTCTTGCTCAACGTGAAGAATAGAAACGTGAGTGGGAATCGGGATTTCTCTGCGACTCAAAGCACGCAAAAGTGTAGATTTACCAATACCGTTCTGACCAACAAGACCGTAACGACGACCATAAGCGAGTGTGAAGGCAGCATCTGTAAGAATGCGCAGGCCACTAATCGAGATATCGATGTTATCCAACTTGATGTCCTTACTCTTGGCCTGGGAGTCCGAGCCTATTTGAAGAGGGTTGACAGCCATGAAGAACTCCTCGTAGGACATAGTCTCATCCGGCTGGTTGAGCAGGCGGGACGCCTCGTAGGTAACGTTCTTCATAGACTTCTTGTCCTGCTTAGCACGAATCTTGCGCTCGGCTTTCTCGAGCTTCTTCTTGTCCACCTTGGACTCCATCTTTCTGGCATTGGCAGATTCCAAATCGACAGTGTTTCCAGTCAGACCCAGTGTAGAAGACATATTTCGCTGTGCGCCGACATTGATAGTCTGTTCAAGCTTCTTGGCCTTGAATGGCATCTGCCTCCGCTCTGGGTCGCCATCGGAGGAGCTCAGCGTGGTGATGAACCTCGCAACCAAGTTGCCGATCGCATCGTAGTTTTGCGGGGAGAAATCTCCCGAGGCGGAGACTAGGAGTTCGATCACAGATTCGGCGGCCTCTGCCAAGGGGGACTGGCCACTGGCATCGTCGACGTAGAGGTTTGCGGCATGGGTCAGATAGCCCTGTCAAATGTTCAGCGTCAATCGACTTACAATCTTCCACCGCGCATATGTGCGGAGATACTTACTACTGAGTATTCGGTGATGATTTGGTCGAGACCAGGGATCTGGGATTGGAGTTCGGACTCCATTTTACCAGGCTCGAAATGACGTCTGTCACGCCGAGATTCAGGAAGCTTCGGCGTCAAGAGTTTGTGGAGTTCTGGAATTGAGGTCCCCATCGTGAATAGTGGCGGATTTTTGGATGTGTGTTATCGATAAGATCACATGACAAGTGTTTATCGTCAAGAAATAGTTGGAAGCAAATGCTGTCTCTTGGAATACTGTGAAGGTGCGACGGGTATTAAATCACCTAGAGTAGAATTTATTCCTACGCTTCAAAATATGCCGAACTAAACGAGAGGTCGCTCGGTGGTTGCTCCTTGCCATATATTTGCGGGTAGTATACCAAGATATAACTAAGCGATTCCTATCACTTCAATACGGACCTATATGACCGTAGCTTTGCATCGAAGTAACCGACGCTCAAAGTAAGCTGCGAGTAACCGCACGTTGAATAAAATTGTTATGGAAGAAAGTTGGCTGACTGTGTATCGCCAATCTCCGCATGAAGTTGCTGAAGACAAGACATCTATCGTATCTATATTAGCGAGCAGGTATGGCAGCATTGAGATATTATCCCCAAAATATAGTTGTCAAAATCCGACTTTCTTAATACAAGCATTTGCAGAAAGTGTCAGCCATTGGTATCATGTTAGGATATTCATCCATCTACCTTGAATATTCCTAAATCCATAAAGCCATACATGTGTACTCCGTCTGCTTTTTGGAACACGACAAGAACTTTGGTCATAAAACGCTTGAATGATCCCCGGGGGATCTATTCAAATACAGAAAATTCGAATCCGAGCCGTTGCGAAAGAGAGGTTGCCGAGATGAATTAACCTCGCTTCGGCAGGTTCCCAGCCGACTAACTGATTGAATGCAGATAGTCAAGTTTTGAATCACATATTGGCGTTTGTGATATTGCGGGAAACCATCAGATCACCCGAATGTCACACAGTCTCAATGTTTGAGAAGCCCGCTAGTGGCAGACAAAGTAGACGTAGCAGAATGATCGACCTCAGCTCCGGCCGTCTTCCCGGGCGTCCGTGGATAAGCAATACGAGGTTCCATGGATTGCAATGAGCATAAGCAACACCCTGACCGCCTCTCTTGTCCATGTTTCAGTTACTTCCTGTAGCTGATAGCAATAGATCTACAGTGAAGTGAAAGCCTACATCAACAACTGGACTCTGACAAAATCACCTAAATTAGATACAAGTTCTGCAGGCTGCAGGGTGTTTCATGAGCAGTTTCATGTTCGCAGAAGTTGCGTTGGACCAGCAATCAGTAAAATGAAATCTAAGCGAGCACTAAAGCTATTAATTATGGAGTGCCTGAAGTTGTTCAAGTTTAGAAGCTGGAAATAGGAAGCGCTTCCAACCCCTGTAGTCACACTTATCACACCAAAGTCGGAAATTGCAAAGCACGGGCTTACAAAATCTGCCGAGACACAAAAGGCCGAGACTTCAGCTCCCCTGCTAAAGCCGCTACCTTTGTTGTGCTTTTTCGGGAATCAAGAAATGACTATTCGACCAGAATATTTCATCCAACAGTGCAGAGAAGATCTTGTTCCGGTCTGCAGGTTCGCGGCAGCCAACACCGATATAACGGGTGCCGGCAGGCGTTTGAGAATAATAAATTAAAGTATTGGCTTATAGTCCCCTATCAACGGTTGGGACACATGGCAAGACCTAAGACGATCAACTGTACGTAGGGAGTAGCTCTGTACATAATGTTCCATATGTTGACCTTCCAAACTGAATGATTGGATATGCCGATCGCTACAAGCTTCACCTAGGGATCAGCCTAAATTGACTTTTTTCAAGTGGAAAAAGATGGATATAATAATAAAAATAAAGAGCTTGAAACACGAGGTGCTTCCTCCCCCGCTCTTTCATACGCTATTGACGGTTAACTGCCAGCAAAAGCACACATTCGGAGTTAAGAACCGATTTGTGACCCACGAGGACTCCCTTCATTTGCAGAGTGGAATAAGTGGAGTACTATATGACGAATGTCAACAAATAACAAT